ATATTCAAGGTCATATTTTGGCTCTGGTGGACTTGTTTTCATTTTCTTCAGCTTCAGTTTGAATTTGCATATGAGCAATTGATGGTCTGTTCCACAATCTGCCCCTGGCCTTGTTTTGGCTGATGATATAGAGCTTTTCCACTGTCTCTTTCCACAGATGTAGTCAATTTGATGTCTGTGTATTTCATCTGGTTAGGTCCATGTGGATAATCGTCCCTTATGCTGTCTAAAGAAGGTATTTGAAATATACAAATCATTGATTTTGCAGATTCTATCATGTGTTCTCCAGCATCATTTCTATTATCAAGACCATATTTTCCACCTACTGATCCTTCCTCTTTGCTCCCAACCTTTGCATCCCAATCACCAGTAATGATCTATATATCTTGATTGCATGTTTGGTCAATTTCAGATTGAAAAAGTTTGTAGAATTCTTCTATTTCATCCTCACTGGCTTTAGTGGTTGGTGCATAAATTTGAATTATAGTGGTACAAGTCTTCCCTGTAGGTGCATGGATATTATCCTATCACAGACAGATCATGACTGATCTGGATATGTTCTTTTTAACAGTGAATACAGTACCATTTCTTTAATTTGTCATTCCCGGCATAGTAAACCATGTGGTTGTCTGATTCAGAATGGCAATACCAATCCATTTCAGCTCACTAATGCCTAAGATATCAATGTTTATGCATTCCATTTCATTTTTGACAATTTCTAATTTTCCTAGATTCATATTTCATACATTCCATGTTCTGAGGTTTTTAATGGACATTTACAGCTTTTTTTCCCTTCATTTTGGGTTGTGTCCCATCAGCAAATGAAGGTCCCCAGGCTTTACTCCCACTGGCTTTACTCAATTTGCCTCATCATGGTCAACTCTGCTTTGAGGAGACAGCTCTTCCCCAGTCGCATTTTGGGAGCCTTCCAACCTGAGGAGTTCATTTTCCAGCACTGTATCTGACAGTGTTTCTCTGCTACTCATAAGGTTTTCAGTGACTTAATGTTCGGAAGTAGTTGGCCATTTCTTCTTCCTAGTCTGTCTTCGTCTGGAAACTCATCTGAAACCTGTCCACCATGGGTGACCCTGCTGGTATTCAAAATACCAGTGGCAGAGCTTCCAGAGTCACAGCAACTCACAAGCCACCACAGTACAACAAACTGACAGATGAGTGGTGAGGAAGTTCTACTGAAGCCAGTTAAATGTCTTAGCAACATATAGGTCTCCATTGATGGACAGACTGATGCTGGCTGCGTATGTGGTACATTGACCTAGATTTGATCCTGGGTCTTCAGTATGGACATTGAGAATTCTACCACTGAACCAATGCCCCTCATCATGGTCTACTTTGTGTGTAATGCGCAATTTACTTATCCTGCTGCTAAAGCTGTGTCCTTGTAAGCAACTGGTGATTGAGTCAGTAAGAACTGGAAAAAGATTGTGCTAGTTAGCATAATTATTTTTGTTGTTGTTGTTAAAAATGTTTCAATGAGTTTATTCTCATGAAGATTACATATATGAAATAAACTAAGTAGGCATTTCCTACTAGAATTTAATTATAATTTGAATTTGTTTTCCTTGCTGTGAAGCTAAGTTCTTGTGTTTCCTTTTCTTCCTAGGCTGGAGGAATTGCAAACTTTCCTCTTGTATAAGAACACGCTGACTTATCTTCCTTATGATTTGCTGAACCTGAAGAAGCTCTCCTTGTTAGTCGTCAGTGGGGACCATTTGGTGGAGTTCCCAACTGCCCTTTGTGATGCATCTACACCTCTCAAGTGAGTAGGGCAGAGGTGGCAGAAGTGACAGGTTCAGACATGAGGTAGGGTGTCTCAAGAGGGGGTGACTGTGTCAGGAACTGGGTTTGGTGACGCTGATTCCTGATTCACAACAATTCCGATGAGTTTTTCTTTGTGCAGAATTTTGACGTTTTTGGTAAATGGTATCTGAAGGTAGAGCACAGGGGCTTTCTGGACAAATATTACTTGCTGATTGAGGTACAGATGTCCCTGGGTTGTGCAAATGTGTAGTCCTGAGCTGCTAACCAAAAGATTGGGGGTTTGAACCCACCCAGAGGTATCTCAGAAGAAAGACTTGGTGATCTGATTCCAAAAGGTCACAGTCATGAAAACCTTACAGAAGACAGTTCTTCTGTGATACACAGAGGTTCACCGTGAGTCAGAATTGCCCTGATGACAAGTGGTCATCTGGTGAGTGTGCAGCAGGACATATTCCCAGGCTACCTCATCTGTCACATTCAGCACTCACATAACTAAGTCCTAAAGCCTGGCCTAGAGGGGTCAGGTGAATGACTCATTGGTGAACGACTCCATCGAGTTTGTTTCACTTTTACTGGGATTTTCTTAAAGGAACCTAGAAATCACCCAACACAGAAAAACTTCAAGCAAATGCGACATTCAGTCTGAGATGAGAAACGAAGTAGACTCCTATTTCTGAGTTAGAATCGAAAGCTCTTGCTCCATGCCACCTCCCCTAAAGCTGACTGAGTAGCACATCTTGCCAGAATTTGGGACATTGGGGTTCTCCCATCACTTCTATTCTGAGACCATCTGGCTCCTCCCCAGCAACTTGGAGCCTCCCCAGGAAGCTTCTCACAAAGTCGCTTTATTGTGAGCCATTTCCTCACTGTCCAGAGACCCGTGTGCCTTTGACACCAGTTGTTACTAGTCGCTTCACGGGAGCAAGGTGAGGCTTTCTGCTGCTGCAAAGATGTACAGCCTCCGAAACCCTATATAAAGTTACTGTGAATCGGAGCCAACTCCATGGTACACCATGAGCATCACCATATCTCCTGCAGTCACATGCAAACCGATGGCCATCAAGAGAATTCCAACTCATGGCAATCCCACGTGTTGCAGAGTAGACCTGCTCCATAGGGTTTTCAAGGAAGGCTATGACCTCCCTGAACAGATTGCCAGGACTTTCTTCTGAGGTACCCCCTCTCCCATCTCACCTCTGCCATTTAAGTGACTCTTCTGTTGTCTTTGACTGTCTTTAGGAATGTTGTCTGGATAAGAAGAGACATTAGTGAGAGGGGTGGTCAGACCCACTCCCAAGGTCCTCTCCACACCTGGGAATCCAGGAGCAGGACTGCCAGAGCGGGAGGGGAAGAAACTGTGGTCAGGATATAATTATTACTTAATGTGCAGGTTGTTAAAGTGATATATCAAATGATATAACTGTAGAACTCAGAAATCTAAGAGGATCAGATGAAAACTCTTTGAATTAATAAAATCTCAACTAAAAGATAAGACACCAGTTAGCACAAAAAATTTGATAGTGTCCTGATTTCTTAGAAAATTTATGGAACAAATGATGGTATTAATAGTAATGTGATAGTTTCAGTTTTGTGTCAGCTTGACTGGGCTGGGAGTATCGGCGGTTTGGCAGTTGAGACATAGCTATCTCTATGATGTGATTTGATGTGAAAAATCTAAGAGGGGATTTAGGATGTGATGTTGTTGTTAAGTTTCATCAAGTTGGTTCTGACTCATAGCGACCCTATATAGGGTTCCTGAGATGCAACTGGTGAGTTTGAACCGCCGACCTTTCAGTTAGTTAGCAGACCTGTACTTATCCTAGAGCATCACACCAGGACTAATTTCATCCCACCCAGATCCAATTTATGGGCAATTCTCAAGGGTGTGGTATTCAACACTTTTTATCTTACAAGAGATAAAGGAGAGAGACTTGAGCTGAGAAAGAGGAACCTACTGCCACCAAGATAGAAGAGCCAGGGATGGAGTGTGTCTTTGGACTTGGGGTCCCTGTGCTGTGAAGCCCCTAGAGCCAGGGGAAGGTTGATGCCAAAGTGTATGGAGATCTCCAAGGAAACCTGGGACTACAGAAGCTGAAAGGAGACAAGGGCCTTTCCCCAGAGCCAGCAAAGAGAAAGCCTTTCCCAAGAGCCAGCACGTCTAGCCTCCTAAACTGTGCGAGAACACGTTTCTGGTTGGTAAAGCCATCCACCTGTGAAACCTCTGTCATATCAGCATTAGACAACTAAGACAGGTAATAAGCAAAAATGTCTAGGGATGGCACCTAACAACAACAACAAGGGGAAAACTTTAGAGAAAAATAGTTCTTACATGAAGGGGAAAAAAATGTGTTCCCAAAAGTTATCAAGGAAGTGTTTAATATTTAGAAAGACATTTGCATCTTTACTGGATGAATGTATCATTACACTCAAATGAAATATCAGGTATAAGTTGTTGTTGTTGTTAAGTGTTGTTGAGTCGGTACCAACTCATAGCAACTGTATATCACTGCGGGAGCAGAAAGCCTCATCTTTCTTCTGTGGAGCGGTTGGTGGGCTCGAACTGCCACACTTGTAGTTTGCAGCCCAGTGCTTATCCTATGGAGCCAGACCTAGGGTTCTTAATGATCACCAAGGGTAGTGGGAAGCAAGGAGGAAGAATGCTGAAATAGTCAATGTTTTGTTACATGTATATATTTAGTACATTTAAAAATTATAAATATTTGAAAAGACATATATCTTTCCTAAATGGAAAAATTATAGGATGTGATAAAAATTATACTTCAGTATAAAATGATTCTGATCATAATAATTCCAATGGGGTTTCTTTTTAGAATTTGAAAAAATGGTTGGAAAGTACACTTGAAAGGGAGAGAAAGAACAGCAATAACAATTTTGGAAAACAAAATTAATGCGATAGAATTTGCTTTACAATCAATTACAGAGCTTTGAAAGGTGTGATCATCAAAATGAGCAGCCCAGGTAATCCTCATTCATGAATAGGAACTTTCACAAACCAGAGGGGAAGGAATGAATGCTTCTGTACAATATCGAGGAAGTTGACTTGTTAGAAAAAAATGTAAAAACCTAGTGTTCACTTTATGACATAAGCAGAAAGAAATTGAGATCATGCCACAAATTAAATATAAAAAGAATAAACCATGCTATGATAAACTTGGTGCTTCAGCCATTTGTTTAATTCCTATCCCCCTTGAACTTCATTAAAATAGAACGAAAAAAAAATATAGATATATAGATATATACCTATATGTATATATACGTAAACCACAGTGATGGAGAGAGCAGGGAGGGGAAGGCCATCATAGAATAGTGGTGACTCAGTGGTTGAAGCACTCAACTGCTAATCAAAAGGTCAGTGGTTTGAACTCAGCAGCCATTCCATAGGAGATAGCTGTGACAATGTGACATTTGCTTCTGTAAAGATTTTTATGGTTACAGCCATGGAAACCCGATGCGGCAGTTCTATGCTACCCTGTAGGGTCATTGTGAGTCAGAATTGACTCAGTGGCCAAAGATTTAGCTTTTGGAATATGGAAGACACAAATTGGACAGAGGAGCAGGGTCTGAGGAAAACAGGGTGAAATAACTGAAGCCTAGACAACGAGCCAAGGAGTGAGTCAGAGCCTCAAAGAACTGTAACGAAGCTTGTTGTTGTTGTTAAGTGCTGTTAGTTCCGACCCATAGCAACCCTGTATAAGATTTCCAAGGAGCAACTGGTGAGCTTGAACCACTGACCATGCAGTTCAAATGACTGTGCAGTCTGACACATTAGCCCACAGTGTCACACCAGGACTCCCTAAAGAAACTTGTTGTTGTTGTAAAGTGCCATTGAGTTGATTCTGACTCATAGCGACCCTGTAAGGGTTTCTGAGGAGCAGCTAGTGAGCTTGAACCACTAGCCTTGCAGTTCAAACAGCTTTGCAGTCTGACACATTAACCCACAGTGCCACACCAGGACTCCACCAGGAGCTTAGGGGTCAGAAATTTCAGGCACTGAGAGCTCTAGCCCACCTGCCACCCTCAGTCTCCTCCTTGATTATAGTAGGCAGAGCACTTGGCACCAGCCATCCAGAATAAAGTCTGGATGACCCCAGAGGGAAGATCCTATTGTTCTGTGTTTGGAGGTTCCCCAAATGACTGGCTGAGAGGTGACCCACAGTGAGGCTGGCCCCTTGGCAGGTGCTACCTGTACCCCCAGGATGCCCAGCCAACACTTTGCTGCCTCCTTCTCAAATATGAAGGCATCACAGAGTGCTACCAGGTAATTGAAGAACCTCGTCTGTGGGATATAATGATTCAAATAAACCAATATAAAATGCAAGGTCAGATAATTGGGTTGGGGGGGGAGAGGAAAAATGCATAAAACAATGTCTATCTAAGATAACTTTGAAAAGATATTGCATGCTTTAAGCAACACCAAAATTATTGAAAAGGAACCAATAGTGGATTGAATTGTGTCTCTCCCAAAATATGTATGTCAGCTTGGCTGTTATGTGTCTCAGTGGCTTGGCAGTTATATGACGATCGTCCGTGATGTGATCTGATGTGATCAACATCAGAAGATTAAGAGGATTAAGGGTGGGATCGTTGTTGTTGTTAAGTGCTATGGAGTTGGTTCTGACTCATAGAGATCCTGTACAGAGTTTCTAAGGAGCGGCTAGTGAGTTTGAACAGTTGACTTTGTGGTTAGTAGTCCAGTGCTTATTCTACAGCGACACACCAGAACTCCACCACCCTTAATCCCATCATGTCCCTGATCTAATATAAGGGCGACTCTAATGGGTGTGCCATCCAACATCTTTTATCTTACACGAGATAAAAGGAGAGAGAGGGGAGCAGAGAAATTGGGACTCACTACTGCCAGGACAAGGAGCTCTGGTAGCGTAGTGGTTACGAATCGGGCTGGGAACCTCAAGGTCAGCAGTTCGAAACTACCAGCTGTTCTGCAGGAGAAAGATGAGACTTTCTGCTCCTGTAAAGAGTTACAGCCTCGGAAACCCTGTACAGGGTCGCTATGAGTTGGAACCGACTCTACTGTACACAGCCACCACCACCACCAGGACAGGAAATGCAGGAGTGGAGTGCTTCCTTTGGATCTGGACTCCCTGCACTGTGATGCTCCTAGATCCAGAGAATGGTTGATGTCAAGACTCATGAAGATCTCCAAGGAATGCTGGGTCTTTATAAAGAGACAGGGACCATTCCCTAGAGTTGGCGCTCTGAATTTGGACTTCTAGCCTCCTAAAGTGTGAGAGAATAAAAGTCTGTTCAGACCATCCACTCTTACTTAGTATTTCAGTTATAGCTGTACTGTACTAGGTAACTAAGACAGAGCAAAAACAAAGCTCAAAGAAAACCAAAACAATGACAAATCTTCAGGGGACAGTTGAGAAGAAAATAGTGGAGAAAGTCTTAGAAGGAAGAATGAAAGGAGAGGGAAGGGAGGGAGAGAGGAAGAGGCCAGAGAAGAAATAAGAGACATAGGTCCTCAAACAAGGAAGTTCAAAGGATGCTTAACTGAAAGTGAAGACGTCAAGACATTCTGTGTGCTATTTTGGCAACTTCCTGTGTCTCTACAGTTATCTCAAAATACGGAGTTTAAAAATATATGTGTATGAGAAATACCAGAAAGAGATAGCAGTGAGAAAAGTGTTCAGCTACATACGATAAAATTATTTCCCAGAGTTAGAACAAAGCAGTCTCTAGTCTAGATCAAAAGGCTTATGGAATACCCTGAAAAATGGAAGAAAAAGGATTCACGCTTAAAAGAGTGCGTTCTTGAAGCAACTCCCAAAAACTTTGAGAAAGAAATTGCAGCTCACCTATGAGACCACACAGATGAGATTGTCTTAACGCCGTGAGAGAGATATTTTCCATGTAGAATTCTGTGCTGCCCAACTACCCAATCAATACCTTTTCCTGCTGAGTCAACTTGGACTACAGACAACAGCTCTAGAGAACACAGTAGAATTAACTCATAGGGCTTCCAAGGCTGTAGTCTTTATGGAAGTAGATTGTCACCTCTTTCTCTTACAGAGCAGCTGGTAGGCTTGAAATGCTGACCTTTTAATTAACAGCCAAGTAAGTGTTGAACCTCTGTGCCATTAAGACTTCTCTATCAATCAATAAGGAGGATAAAATAAATGCATTTTCAGACATATTGTTGTTAAGTGCCATCGAGTCGGCTCCAACCCACAGCGACCCTGTATAGGGTTTCTGAGGAGTTGCTGGTGAGCTTGAACCACCGACTTTGTAGTTCAAATGGCTTTGCAGTGTGACAAATGAACCCATAGTGCCACACCTGGGCTTACCTCCAACTCATTGCTTTCCAGAAGTTATTTGAGGACATGCTTCTCGCAAACAAGGATATAAATCAACAAAAAGGAAAACACCAGGTATAGAAAGCAATAGATCTGTCCCAGGGAAGCTATGCCCTGATGGCTGATTGCAGCAGTCCAGACATGAGGCCCCCCAGACTGAGGACAGATGGAAAAAGTCAGAGAATATGTTTGCAGAGAGAACTCAAAAACCAAAAGCTAAAAGGAAGCTAAATAGTGGAGTGGAGAAGGGCCAAGGGGAAAGGAAAATAGAAACCGCTGGAATAGAGGGGAAAATCTGTACAGATCAAGACAATGTAGTTGCAATACCTTTTGAAGAGAACAGTTTTTATACTGTCACAAAAAGTATTGTTGATTGACTTTCAATTTTAGATTCTAATTGCAAACTAAATAGAAGATTTAAATATGGCCACGGATCGGAGTGCTGATAGCATAGTGGTTACGAATTGGGCTGCTAACCTCAAGGTCAGCAGTTTGAAACTACCAGCCGTTCCACAGGAGAAAGATGAGGCGTTCTGCTCCCGTAAAGATTTACAGCCTCAGAAACCCTGTGCAGGGTCACTATGAGTTGGAACCGACTCCACGGCACATAACAACAACAGCAGATCAGAATGGAAATGGTATTGACTTTTAGTGCAAAAGTGGATGAAGATTGTGGTGTGTTGTGGAACACGTCAAAAACCAAATGGCTGTCGGGCTAGATGGGTGGATATATGATTAAGTAAGTATAATAAAATGATAATGTGAAATTTAGGTATTGGGTACCCGGGTGCTCACTGTAAACTCTTCTCCATTTGTCTGAATTTGGAAACATTTCAAAATAGAATATTGATAAAGTTTGAAGATTTTTATAATAAAATACTGAAGAAGTACAAGTATAGATAACACAAATTGGGATGTGGGAAGTTTGAAGAAAGGAAGAGAATACCTCCACGTGATCAAACAACACTAAAGTATATTTTATGTCATTAGGTAACAAAATATTGCTAGCAGGGTAAATACAAGTAGTGATGTGACCACTGTGAATGTAGAGAGACAGGGAAGCAGCAGAAGCCTACACCTCATCTACCACTGTAGAAGGCTAATAGATTCATCAAAATGATCAACCAATAGATGAGAAGTATAAGCTAAAGAGATTGCTTCTGGTTAGGGTTAGCCAGGGGTTAGGGTGAGAGACTGATGGCTGCTTTGAAAAATTACTATTGTACTATTCTAATTTAAAAAATATGGCAATTATTTGATAAATGCAAAGGATAATGAACTACAGATATATGTCTTATTTTTATATAGGGAAAGACTACAAGTATCAGTTTCATGAAAGAAATTACAAAGGACATGCTGAGTGAATTTGCCTTCATAAAAATTAATCATTAATTTTTCTATATTCAAACATTAAACAAACTTAAAGGAAAATGAACTGAGAAATAGACACTTATACTTAAACATGACAGATAAGAAGCTTCTACCTTCCCCATACACAGAACTCTTCTACAAACCTGTGAGAATAATGCTAACACCTCATTCAAGAAATTTCTTATTTTGAATTGAAATTCCTACCATCTCTCAAATGGAAACAGCTTTCAAAATTGGGACGATGAGAAATCAAGTGCCCTTTTGCCTCGCTCCTTAAGAGTCTTTGATTTTTCTGGCAACAGTCTGTCTTTTTAAATGCCATTTTAGTGAGGATTTTCTGGGTCCTTTTTAATTTATCTACATTCTTTGACATTTTGATATCATAATTATAATATCAAGCATAACTAGACATCATACAGTTCTAAGAATCTGACTGAGAGAAAGTATTATTGTCCTTTTCACAGCCTCTCGGTCTCTGTCCCTGGCTAAGTAGCTATCACATTCTCATATGTGCTTGTTAAATGCTGTCGAATCTATTCAGACTCATACTGACCCTTTAGAGGGTTTCTGAGGTCCAGCTGGTGGGTTTGAACTGCCAACCTTGTGGTTAGCAGTTTAGTGCTATAGTGCTACACCAGGACTTCTCCTTCCCCCCATCAAGTTTCTAACTTCTGATTTTCACTGTGTGCAGAGGGACAAAATTTCCTTTAAGGACAAGCTAGACTTGGTCTTCCTTGCTCTGGGTGTTAGTATCATGTCTCCTGAATGGTAGAAAAAAGATAAAGTACAAGTGAAATCCTGTGCTCTCCATGAACTGTGGAAAGTGTATATCCAATCTTTTATACTATAGCTGTACCCCAACACCCTGCTTTGGTTCTTCATTCATAATATAATAAGTGAAAAATGAAAAAAACAAATGACTCCTTAATCCTACCGGATTAATCTAAAGTAGAATTCCACTGCTGAGGCTAATATTGGCTGTGAATTTCAAGGATAAGTGCGAACTTGGGATTTAGCACCACAAGATTGATTCTTGTGTGAAAAAATTACTTTAAAATTTCTCTTTTTGTTGTCAAGAATATACACAGCAGAACACACATCAATTCAATATTTTTTTTCATATACAATCAGTGATGATTATATTCTTTGAATTGTGTAACTAGTCTCATCCTTCTTTTCTGAATTGTTTCTCCCCCACGAACACAAACTCACTGCCCCTCAAGTTTCCTAGCTAATCTTTTTAAGTTGCTGTGGTGAATTTGCTCCCATATAGATAGATCATAAAAGAGCTCAGCCTAAGGCAGACATTCTTTCCTAACAGTTAAGCTAAAGTATTGTTTGGTTTGGAGAAGACTTCTGGAGATATTTTTAGTTTAAAGATTATCTCAAGACAATTGTTTCAGGGGTTCATCCAGTCGCCATGACTCAAGAAAATCTGCATACCATGAGAATTTGAAATTCTGTTCTGCATTTTCCCCCTTTGATCCAGATTCCTTTATAGAATCTTCTGGTGTTTTGGCAAAGGAGGCAATTCATGGGGGCAGTTAGCCTCCTTATGTGAGGAATTATGAGGTTCAAAATGCATAGTAAAATTGTGGCCTTTTCCATATTTTTTTGGGTAGATTTGTGAGTCTCATGGACAATCCCATTGAGAACAACCAGTGCCATGATGGTGATGAGGTGATGGAAAGTGAGCAGGATCGCCAGCATTTTGATAAAGAATTTATGAGAGCCTATATTGAAGATCTTAAGGAAAGAGGTGGGTTACTCTGATTTCCAATGAATTTATAGAACTTTACTTACTTATTAATAGAAATCAAATTAATAAAAAGTTAATTGGATAGGGCACAAGCAATTTAGCTTTATAAATTATTCTTCCATTTACTAAAAAAAAAAAAATTACATTTTCCTAGTACATGTGAATGCTTGCCATGTCATCATCTGTTTGACAGAGAGCCTGGGAAACACATTGAAACTGTGAGGGTGGCACTGCCAACTGTCCATTAGCTTTTAACTAAAATAATATTTGCAAATTAGTTTTCTAAGTTAATGAGGAAATACAATTCAATTTAAAAAATCCATTTAAACTCGACCTTTGAAAAAGTTATCTCTTAAATAAACCAATGTATCCTTGTATAAAGAGTCCTGGTGTGGCACTGTGGCTTAATGTGCTGGACTGCAAGGTTGGTTTGAACCACAAGGTTGGAGGTTCAAGCTCATCAATTGCTCCTTGGAAGCTCTATACAGAGTCGCTATGAGTCGGAACTGACTCCACAGCACTTAATAACAATAGTCCTTATATAAAAAAAAACCCACAGAAGAGAAAATAAGATAACAGGTCAGTAAGCAGACAGACCCAGGTGTTTTTGGTGTTGTATTGTTGTTAAGTGTGTTCAGTTGGATAATGATGCTGTATAGGGTTTCCAAGGAGCTCCTGGTGAGTTTGAGCCAACAGCCTTGTGGTTAGCAGCCCACTGCTTATCCTACGGTACTGTACCAGGGCCCAGGTGTTGTCCCTAGGGTGGTGATAATATGGAAGAGTACAGCAAGTCACAGTACCTCAGGAAAGGATAGGAAATGTTCTCTGAGCCAGGGATTGAGTGATCCTAATGTTCTGGTGTAGCGCTGTAGGATAAGCACTGGCCCACAAGGTTGGTTTGAACTGCAAACTCACCACCCACTCCTCGGAAACCCTATACAGGGTTGCTATGAGTTGGAACCAACTTGAGGGCACTTAACAATGGTGTTCTGGACGGTATAGAGTCTCCTTTTCCTCCGGTGACAAGCACATACTCAGAAAATTGATATGACTTAATTTTTAAAAATGTTTTATTGTGAATTATGTGATAGTTTACATGGGAGAACATTAGCTTTACATTTATCCTAGCATATATCGTTTCATTGCCATGGTTACAATCCCCTCCATGCATCATCAACCATCAACCAACCAAAGGGTATACCCCACAAGTCTGCCCCCGGTCGTCAGCACGCAGCCCTTCTCACTCTCTGGGTCTAAAGTCCCCATCCTCTCCATCTCTCCACATCATCATCTCTGCCTCCATCTCTGGCGTCACTGCTTCTCTGGGTAGGGTCCCGCTCTCTGCTCTTCTCCCATGATGGTCCCAGGGACTTCCATTCCTAGACTGCAAAGTCAATCACTCTCCTCCTTTGCCACAAAACGTCTACTTTTACATTTCCAACTCTCAAAGTCAGTCCTGTTAACAATTAATTTACTATTGTATCAGAAGAGACCTATCCACATCTCCTTTCGAACTGCTGGCCCCGACTATTCAGAACGGATACTACTCAGTGGAGATTCTACCTTCCTCCATGCCCTCTGGATCTAGGCTCTCTCTTGAAAGCTTGTAAGCCTTCTTGCCTTTGTAGCACCCCCATTTTGGGTAGCCAATGTCTAAGTTGCCCATCCCTGTCTACTCCGTGTATGGAGGGGATGGGAATGATCCTCACTATAAAGATTTGTTCCCTCTTTTGAGCTACTGCATCCATAGGTGTAAGTCAAGTTCATCAAATTGTATCAGATTACTCTTTTTTTCCTTCTTCTAGTTGAGGTCACTTCATTTTTGAGTTCTTTTTCTGTAAATAAGTTCAGACCTGGCCGAAGGAAAGACACTATGTCTGTAGATTTAGGGAGGAAGTAGTATAGGTATGCCTTTGTCTCTGAAGATAAGCATCTGGGGGCAGGTTCCCTCAGTCACCCTCAGAAAACATCATGTGCAGGAACATCCTTGTCCCTTGCCAGGGGTCTGAAGATGATTAGTCACATTCAGATATTTAAAGATCTCAGTAATATGAATAAAAAATTCCATTTATTTGGAAAATTTGAAAAAAAAAATCAAGTTGAGAACATTTCTAAACAATCACTAATTTATTTCGTGATCACATCTTAAATGTTTAAATATTATGAACTCAATTAGAAATCTAAGTTAAAAGTGAATCTTAAATACAGAAATATTTACTTGCCAAAATGTATCTTTGGACTATATAATTTTCCTCTGTCTCATATATTTACTCATAATTATATTTAAATGCCATTATGAAAGAATGCAAGACTTAGAGAATTAGAGAAAATTAGGTCTTAAGTTTTTAATCTATGTGTAAGCAATACAGTAATTTGCTTTAAAGAGTTTATTTTAGTGATGATAGATTTGGAACTCATTTACTTATTTCTGTATAATCTGGAGTCCCGGTGTGGCACTATGGGCTAATGGACTGGACTGCAAAGTTGGTTTGAACTGCAAGGTCAGTGGTTTGAGCTCACCAGCTGTTCCTTGAATACCCTATACAGGTTCAGAACCGAGTCGATGGCACTTAATAACAACATAATAAATCTATCCCTCATGTACCCATATTTGTTGTTGTTGTTAAGTGCCGTCGAGTTGGGTTCTGACCCATAGCAACTCTGTATAGGGTTTCCAAGGACCAGCTGGTGACCTTGAACTGCAGGCCTCTGGGTTCAAAGTGAATTTTGTAATCCAGCACATTAACCAGCAGCGCCACACCAGGACTCCCTACCCATATTGTTGCTGTTGTTGTTATGTGCCATGGAGTCGGTTCTGACTCATAGTGACCCTGCACAGGGTTTCCAAGGCTGTAAATCTTTAC